GAAGCAGGAGTTGAGGAACACACGAAGCTGTAGCCCGGGACCCAAGGTTGAAAATTGGCAGCACAAAGGATTGTGTCCTATAAAGACACTTTGCCTTCTGCGAAGTACAATCCAAACAGAACCCACTTTTATCTCAAAGTTCTTCCTCAGAGCTTGATGAGCTCCCCACCCTCTCGTCATCACTCTCAGCTGCCCCCAAACCTGCAGCTGAGTGCCCATCCCTCCACCTTTGCCAACGATTGTCAGGGTTCAGATCCTGCCAAGAGTCCCCTGGCTGCCAATCTCCAGTGAACCCCTCAAATTCCTCACTGGAGGTGGGTTGGTTACAGATGTCCCTTATTTGTTGCACACGGGTCCAATCTAATTCCTCCTGTTGTTCCATATCACTCCCAGACCCAGAACTCCCTTCAAACCCAAGGAAATCTTCATCCTCTGTTGGTGCACAAAGTATTTCCCGAATACATTTCCTTTGTAATTCCCCCTCAGACTCTGGCTCGCAAACAGCCCCTTTTACACCTCTGCTCACTTCCCCATCCCCCATCTCACAATCAGAGAAGCCTGGAAACGTGTCAGTATCACTTGGAGCCATAATGATTTCCCTAATGCGCTGACGCTGCTGTTCTCCCTCCGACTCCAGAGTAGACCCGTTCTCCCTGCTACCAGGAGTAGCAACTCGACCAACACGCTGAACTACAATATAACTCTCAGTATGGCTTATACTTCCATCAGACTGGTTTTAAACTTATTTCACTGCAAAGTATCTTTCTTTTCTTAATTGACAATTCAAGGCACTGACGTGCCTTTTTCTCCCTTCAGCTTCCCCCACTGAAGTTATGGATTTCTACTACTACTACTACTACTACTCATGAGCTAATTACTAATTTAAATAGGTCCAATTGACTCGGTAAACACATAAACTGAAAACCTAAACCCCTGGGTTCAGTTTCTCCACACACCAGAACCCAACTTCCACTTTTGTCCACTGACTAAAGGAAAACTCAACTCTTTTAAAATGCCTGCCCCTCCCAGGTGGCAATTAGCTCCACCCCTTTGGCTTCTCTAACTTGGATACATTCTAACAGACGGTTTATTTTATTTATTTATTTATTTATTTATTTAAAAGTTTTGTATACCGACTTTCTCACCTCTCTTGAGGGACTCAGACCATCCAACCATTCCAACCATCATATCACATACAATCAATAAAACATCATAATACATATTACAGTAAAACATTAAAACAACAATTACAATCAATTACTATAATGGTCAGTCGTCACACTAAAATCGTTGCTCATCATCCTCCATACATATCTCAGGGTGTTGGCTCACTCGTCGAATGCCGGTCTCCATAACCAAGTCTTCACCTGTTTCTAAATGTCAGGATAGAAGGGGCGGTTCTGATCTCCAGTGGGAGAGAGTTCCAGAGTCGAGGGTCCACCACCGAGAAGGCCCTGTCCCTCGTCCCCACCAGATGCGCTTGCGAGGCCGGTGGGACCGAGAACAGGGCCTGTCCAGACGATCTTAATAATCTTGATGGTTCCGTTTCTATGGCAACGCCTCAGCACAAGTGACACATAAGCTGGGCTGCACTTATCCCAACATCAATAAACACATTTAAAACATGCATTATAATTAGCTATTTCATTACAGTCCCCATTAGGTCTTTTATGTTTTTAACTCGTGTCTTCTTCCTTCCACAGCCTCCTTAGTTTGCCCCGCAAACAGCCAATACAAGGCCTGTGGACCTGCGTGTCCCATTACCTGCAACAACGAAGCTCTTCCCAGCAGCTGTGCCTCATTGCCTTGTATTGAGACCTGCCAGTGCAACGAAGGCTTTGTGTGGGATGCTGGGAAATGCATTCCCAAGGGTGACTGTGGCTGCATCTTTGAAGGAAAGCTCTTCTCTCCAGGAGAGCAATTCTGGGGAGATTCCACCTGCACTAGACGCTGCACCTGTGACCCAGAGACCAAGCGTGTGATCTGCCAGACGAGAGGCTGCAAGAGCGGAGAGCAGTGCAGGGTGGAGGATGGCATCCAGAATTGCTATCCCACCAGTTATGCCACCTGTTCTGCTTCAAAGGGCACTCATTACAGCAGTTTTGATGGGCCGAAGTTTGACTTCCAGGGCACTTGTGTGTATCTGTTGACAGGGCTCTGTGACAAGAGAAGAGATTTGGTGGATTTCCAGGTTCGTGTCCAAAATGACCATC